GCTACTTTCACTATATTTTGATGATAATATTTTTCTACTTTTACTTGAGGAACATTTTGAATGCAGGACTTTTACTGTAACAGAGTATTCCTACACTCTGGTACTTCACTTCTTCCAACTCTGCAAGTGCTAAGTAACAAGGTGCAGCAGTTTAGACAGTTATACAATTGGCTTCACGTGTACTAGGAGTTTTTGATTTGGTAAAGCGCTCAATTGTTTGTATGTAGTTTTACACTTAATATATGTACATAATTTAATTTTGGGAATGTTAGATTTTGACAAGTATATTGGTTCAGAACAGCAGGCACTTAAAAAACCAAACATCACTGTATATTATGTAGTATGAAAAATCAACAGACATGTACAAAAAAATGCTATTAGGCAGTTATTTTACAAAATAAGATTATGAAAACTGCTCCAAAACAGGTGTACCATTACTCAGGCACACAAAGCAATTGATGACCTGCCATTAAGCAAAGGTAGTTTAAGGGAATTGAGCAGCCGACAGACTTTTAAAATGACATGGCCATTGTAGCCTCAGGTTATCAAGAGAACTGTTGTTTTTACAGCGACTGAGTTATACATGTGCTTTTTATCTTTTTCAGAAATGCATATCTGTTAGGTGAGGCTAACAAAGTGGGAAGCAGCTTGCCTACTGCCAGGAAGACAGGAACAACCATCTGTGGTATCGTCTTTAAGGTGAGTGACATACTGATTAACATGTAGTAAGACTTTAGTCTTCTAAAGCACTGATGCTGATAGTTTGTTCATATTAGTTAGTCAGTCCCTAAATCATCACCTGTGAAGTAGTTTTTTAGTAAATGCTTTAAGAAGATATGCATCTATAGGTCAGCTTTAAGGGGTGCGACACCCTGAGTGGTTGGTAATTCTAGTTATTATACCACGGTCTAAATTTCACTCAGTCACCTAACTAAGTTAACATGTTAGAACAAACCAGTGGCTGTCAGCAGCTAGGCTAGTTATTAGAAGACATATGTTTTACTTTGCGTGTAAAATATAATTTGTGTTTCCCTCTGAAGGATGGCGTCATCCTGGGAGCTGACACCAGAGCCACTGAGGGCATGGTGGTGGCTGACAAGAACTGCTCCAAGATCCACCACATCTCCTCTAACATCTAGTAAGTGTCCACCACATCTCCCCTAACATCTAGTAAGTGTCCACCACATCTCCCCCAACATCTAGTAAGTGTCCACCATCTCCCCTAACATCTAGTAAGTGTCCACACATCTCCCCTAACATCTAGTAAGTGTCCACCACATCTCCCCCAACATCTAGTAAGTGTCCACCATCTCCCCCAACATCTAGTAAGTTTCCACCACATCTCCCCTAACATCTAGTAAGTGTCCACCACATCTCCCCCAACATCTAGTAAGTGTCCACCATCTCCCCCAACATCTAGTAAGTTTCCACCACATCTC